GCTCCAGCAACCTCCAACTCCTGGGCTTAAGTGATTCTTCTGCCTCAGCCTCCCAAGTAGCTGGGACTACAGGTGCCCGCCACAACACCTGGCTATTTTTTGTTGCAGTTTGGCTGGGGCTGGGTTTGAACCTGCCACCCTCATTATATGGGGTCGGCACCCTACTCACTGAGCCACAGGCACCTCCCCCGCCCCCCGCCGGGCTGGATTTGAACCCGCCACCTTAGGTATATGTGGCTGGCGCCTTAGCCAGTTGAGCCACAGGCGCCACACCAGGTCAGGAGTCTTAACCTGGAATCCAGACCACTAAGGTAGGGATGTCCAACCCACGGCCACACTCTGATTCTGAGCGGGCTGCTTTGCTTACCTAAAGTGTCAAGTATCACAAAAAGTATGCACAGACTTTTTTATTTTTTCTAATCAGCTTGTTAGTGTCTGTGTATTTAATGTGCGGCCAAGATGACTCATTCTCCACTGTGTGGTAGAGAACAAAGAAAGTTTGGACACCCCTACACGGGACTGAGGGATACGATTCAGAGGGCAACTGGACTCGGATGAAAACATTTTCAGGCCTGGCGTGGTAGCTAACGCCTAGTGCTCCGGGAGACAGAGGCGGGTGGATTGCCTGAACTCAGGAGTTTGAGACCAGCCTGAGCAAAAGCAAGACCCCATCTCTACTAAAATTAGAAAAACTGAGGCAAGAGGATCCTTGAGCCCAAGAGTTGGAGGTTGCAGTGAGTTAGGATGCCATGGCACTCTACCCAGGGCAATAGCTTGAGATTGTCTCCAAAAAAATAAAAAAAAAATTTTTTTTCCACTGGACTGTAACTGAAATTTTGTATTGCCTCCAGTTACATATAAATGGAAAAGATATGGTTTTATGGTTTTAAAAGACTGTGACTTTTATCGATAATAATCAGGTAGTATCACACTACAGTTGTTGCAGAGATCTTTTTTAAATGCACACGTCTATCACTCCATCACAAACATATTTTGATAGTTTACACTTCAATGTAATTTTGTTTCCTTTGCAATCCCATGAATTTCATTTTCTCCTTTTAAAAACAATATCTAGAGTCCATCGTACAAAAAAAGTTGAAATGACCTAGGGAACCACTTAAAATGGAATGAAACCAGTAATAGATCTGACTCCATAAAACTCACCCTATCCTGCGCTCCCCGGACCTCTGGACAGTTATAAACCTAAGAAAAGATGTCTTCTCTCATGGTCAAATTTTATCTGCATAGAAAGCCATGTCATTACAGTCTCTTGGAAAATGGAGTAAATGCATTCAGACCTATTCAGAAACTCCCAGCGGAAATGCTGCAGCCAGCGGCGGGAGGCTTGCAGCAAAGGCAAACCCAAGCTCATTTCCTTGTGCGGGAACTGCACAGATGCCACTAGGTTTCCCTCATCAAAACTTGTAGGACAAGCACTCTAATGTTTGGGGTCCTTTCTAGTAACGTTTGGTGATGAGATTCTGACACAGAGGTACACTTCTCCCTGGAATTCTCGCTCCCTAAGAATTTCGCTTGGTTTATCAGTCTTGGTTCCAACAAGAAACAGACGGTTCTTCAGGGGACTCAGGAGATTCTACATCAGAGTGCGTGTACAGAGGGGCTCCTGCAGCTCCAGGCTACCAGCGCAGAACCCACAGCATCCTTGGCCGGGGGAGGAGGGTAAGGGGCAGCAGCTGGGAGCCAGGTGGGAGGCAGTCAGGCTGGCGGCCTTCAGAGGACAGACACCCTGGTTGTCCTCTAATCTTAGGCCAGCACACTCCTTGGCCCAGCCCAGGAGCGAGGAGGCTCAGGAGCTCCTGGCTGTGGTCCGTTTCAGGTCAGGTCTGTGGGAAAGAGCAGAGTGGGTCAGGGAGGGAGGCAAATAAAATCCCCAGCCTTGGAAACCCTGCCACAGCGCCTGTCACACCACGTGTGTATTTAATGTGCGGCCAAGTGAATGAAGACCTGAAGCGTCAGGGGTTAGTCGCACTCCTCGAGAAGGGACAGTAAAATGTCACACGAACACCAGAGCTGCTTCAGCAACGAGTCCTCGTCAGTGGACCAGGCAGATACACGTCACAGCTTTAGACTGGTGCTCGCTTCTCGTGGGTCTGACATTTCTGTGGTGGCTTTGGGGGGACCTGCTGACTGTGCACAGCCTTGGCCGAGCAAGGCCCTCCTGGTGCAGCTCTTGTCATACGGACAAGTGTCCTTTTTACTCTATTTAATGTGCTAATTTTTGCATTTTTTTTTTTTTTTTTTTTTTTGAGACAGGAGCCTCAAGCTGTCTCCCCGGGTAGAGTGCTGTGGCATCACTGCTCACAGCAACCTCCAACTCCTGGGCTCAAGCGAGTCTCCTGCCTCAGCCTCCCGAGTAGCTGGGACCACAGGCGCCTGCCACAACACCCGGCTATTTTTTGGTTGCAGCCGTCATTGTTGTTTGGTGGGCCTGGGGTGGATTCGAACCCGGCACCTTGGGTGTACGTGGCCACTTGAGCCACAGGCGCCGAGCCAATTTTTGCATTTTTTGTTCTTTTTTGTATTTTGGAGATTTCATTGCTGAAAATGGCCTGATAGCATCACATTGACATGTGTATCCCAAACAGCTGTGGTGCACTTGTGGGGAAAACAAGGTAGTCGGTTGTGAGTTCAGTGTTAACCTGTCAACTATGTTAAACAAGGTATCTTTGGACAGGCCCCTGGTACAAGTCTGTGCACCATGAGGTGAGGCGGAAGCCCGGCCTGCACGGCCAGGAGCTGCGGCTCTGTGCTTGCTCACTCAGTGTGCAGTGACCACTGAGCCAACTACCTCAGATCACAACAATCAATCCTACTCACTCTGTTTTCCATTCTAGCAGAGATTTAAAAAAGAAAATCCAATTTACAAAAGACATAAGATGATTTGCTTGTCAACAGCTAACTGGTACTTGTGATGTAAAACCACAAAGAGAGGAAACACCAATACCCACTGCCTCTGTGCAATTTCAATGATATATTACAATTTATCACTTTCTGAATATTCAACCACATCTATATTACTTCAACTTAAGTTGTCTGAAAGGCAACTTGAGCCTGAAGAATAAACAATTCAGGAGGGAAAAGGAAAGACACCCTATTGGACATGCTGCCTTCAAGAACCATCAAGTGTGTGTTCTCCCTCCTCAGACTCAGCCTCTTGTTAATTCAATCCTGCTTAGTTAGGAAAATTTACACTCACTCCACAATAAACCCTATGTTATCCAAAACTACATCTTCTACTTTCATAGCATAGCAAATCTTTTCTTTTTTAAAGATCGCCATTCTATTAGCTACTGTAAAGTTCTCCATGCTGACACATCTCACGTCAGCCAGCAGAAACAGCCGCCCTCCCCTGTGGACTGTGAGAGGCTTTCCGATGGTTGTACTTCACAGTACACAGTCGACACTGGGCAGTTACTAGCCCACTTTCCAGCCATGGTGAAAATGATCATTTCCCCCAGGGGTCACCAAGTATTTATAAGCCTTTATACTGACACTCTGTAACAGAGTCCACATATGTCCTAAGAAGCGGACTCTCCTGCCTGCCACACTCCAAATGTCTTTAAGAGCAGACACGGCATGCACATTATAGACAAATCAGGATAAATACCGAGTGCCTGGGTATTATAGTAGTCCAGGTTAACTAAATCATTATTTTGGAAAAAACATCTCATACCCCCAAATCAATACTATGCTACTAGTGATTAAGAAGCTCAGAAACAATGATAATTTATCCTTACTGTGGAAATAAAGTAGCAGAGCTCTGCAAACGGGAGGGGAAAATACCCAGGCACTTAATGCATATGTGCTAAGCAGCAGCTCTTGAAGTGATCACAGCCTGACAGAGTGCATTCCCATCAGACAGCACACGTCTCTCCATGGCAGGGGCAGCCAGCCAGTCTCACGGGGTGGGCAATACACAGAACACGTTTCTTCACAATTACAAACATTTAACATCTTTAGTCCAACACTTAGATGGGGAAAAGCCTAAAGAAAAATAAAAGACTGAGATACACACCTATTTCAAACACAAAGCAAAATGCTCTGGCTGTGACTGAGGAAGTCATTTAATACTGATTCACTACAGTTAGTAAAAAGTACAACCCCAAGGAATGATTATGGTCACAAGTAAATAAGATTTTTCTAAAAGATTTGTAACTCAGGTATGCAAGACACAAAATCAAACTGCAAAACTAGTTCAAAACAATTAGAGTCCAATGGTTCTCTTATGTTTCTTTTATTTTAAATTGGTATTTTAGAACAGTAAATTATCTTTCATAGCAATGCCTCCTAGTCTGATAATACAGTACCCCATTTCTGAATGTAAAGATTTAAAATAAATCAAAGTGAACATTAAGGCATACAAACAGCTAATTCAAGCCTGCCCTTATTTAATACAGATCAGTTTTTACTCAGATTCAAATATATGGAATGTTGGCACAGAACTGAGGCTGCTATAGAAAGATCACAGATGGTCTCTGGGTTACTGAAACTTCCATTTCTCTAGAAACATACCCTTATATGGTCTTAATTTTACAAATTTAAGTGTTGAGAAATGTCTAATAAGTAACAATTAAAATAAAATGTTTTATTTGTAAATTATGTACAGAATACATTTTATGTTACGACAAGGAAATGGGGACGAGCCACCACTTCCCGACCACGCTGCTCACTCTGTGCTGGAGACGACCGTCTGGATTTCCTGCACTGGAAGGGGAATTTGTAGCTAAACTGAAGGGGCTGCTCGGTTGATACTACTGGCTTGTTTCCACAAAATGCTTCTAACCCTGCTAACTAAGAATCTTAAAAGAAATTTCCTGGTATAATTTTATAATTGAAAAGAAAACTTACCTATGAAGAACAATGAGTTTTAAGCATCTTAAAGAAACTGTGAAATGGCTACATAACTATGCATAATCTGAAATGTTGGAGTTTCTTTATTCCTTTTAAAGTTATTTGATTAGTTTAACAGTAAAAAGCCATTCAACTATCAAAAATGCCATTCATCTAAATGTCACTGTAGAAAATGCATCTTTGATAACTGTCAAAGTGAATGAGACCCATTTACTGTAAAATTATCAAGTGAATAAAACTCATTAATGGCTTTAAACTGTACCAGTAATAGTACCAATATTCTATACGATGAAAAACTGAATATAACTCGTTGGATGTCAAATACATTTCAGTAAATAGATTTAAAGAACGCTACAAATGCCGAGTGTACATTATGACGGTCACCAACGCAGAAACTCCACCTCTTGTGCGGATCCAGTCCCCATCAGCCCGATTACGACTTTCCCTGTGAGGACTCGGGCGTCTCTCCGGCATCCTCCTCCTCCTCCTCCTCACAGTCCCCGTCCGTCTGCTGCTCCAGCTCCTCCTTTGTGATCATCTCAAAGTCGTTCCCATTCCCACTACTGTGCTGGGAGCGGTCGTCCTCCCTCCTGTCACTGTCTGTGTCTGAGTGCCGCTCTCCCCCTGAGCCCTCTGTCCCCGGGCTCCCTGCTCCGACTTTCCCCTCCTCCTCTTCCTTTTTCTCACTGTCTGACTTTTCCTCACTGTCGGACTTCTGCTGCTTTTTGGGTTCTGACTTCTCGTCTTTCTTTAAGTCTGCTTTTGGTCCTTTGTACTCGTGTGTGTACAGGGGCCTGAAGGAGTCAACGAAGCCCACGTCAGCAGTCAGGTTTGGCAAGAACCAGAAGTGGTGCCTTCCTCCAGTGATGAGCCAGATGATGAGGAACAGGATGCAGCGGGCTGTGGGGAGAAAGTCTCTGAGTGAGTAATTCTAGTCTTGACTGAGATACAAGGACAGATTTGTTAGCAAAAAGCTGAGAAAAGGCCAGGCACAGAGGCTCACACCTATAATACCAGCACTGTGGGAGGCTGAGGAGGGGGAATTGCTTGAGCTCAGAAGTTCGAGACTTGCCTGAACGACAGTGAGACCCCAACTCATAAAAAAAGAAAAACCCAGCCAGGCACTGCTGTGAGCTTCTGTAATCCCAGCAGCTTCCGGAGGCTGAGGCAGTGGGATGTCCACAGCCCAAGTCTGAGGTTGCAGTGAGCTATGATGCCATTGCACTCTGCTCAGGGCATAGGGTGGGACTCTGTCTCAACCAAAAAAAAAAAAAAAGCTGAGAAATTTTTATTATTTGTACATTCCACACACCTGAAATATGAATATTTAAACCCTGACTAGTTTAGCAGCTCTCTCAGGATCTAGAGGTAGAGAAATGTGAAATTACAATGTGATAATACCACTCTCAACAGATTGCTTCTGTTTCTACCTGGGCACTGTTTTGTAGAGACACATTTAAGATTCATGTACTTTATGGTGTTACATCTCAGAAAACACAGCAGTCATTTGGAAGTTTAAGTATTCATGACATTATAGTATAAGAAAGGAAAAAAAAAGCCAGGTGGCTGATGCCCATAGTCCCAGATGTAGATGTGGGAGGCTGAGGCAGGAGGACCACTGCGCCCCAGTGCAGAGCAACACTGGGCTCCAGCCTGGGCAGGAGGGAGACTGTGCTACCAAAAAAGGAGGAGGAACAAGCAGGGCTGCTCCCTGACTGTCATGTGTGCTGCGTACTTCTTTCTGTCTTCGTGGGGCATTTCCTCCGTAAGAAATACTACAGATTACACATTAGATACATGTAATGCTTACGACTGTGTTGGTGCAGATGCAGACACAGCACTGTACAGGTTCACTATTCACAGATTTAACTACTTACACACACACACATCACTGCTTCTGACCTTGTGACACATAAATGAAAGCCACACCCCCTGCAGGCCTCCGGCCCACCTGCTCGGCCTGAGGCCAGGCTGGCCCTGGGTGAAGACCCAGCGTAGTGAGCTTCCACCTTCTGATTCTTTTCTTAATCAATTAGGTGCATTGTATCATTTTTGCTTATGTTAGGACCAGTCCTCTCAATAGCAGGAAACAATATAATGCTTATGATAGCAAGATCACTTAAACACATAAAGTTAATGAAGCTATTCTTTTGAACACTATGACAAAACTGTGGAATAATGAAATTTAAAGTTTAAAATTTATAGTAAGTTATCACAAACCCCAGTATTTCATATAGTTTTCTCTAAATTTACCAATTATGTAGAGCTGATTGATTTTTCTCTTGTTTTTCTGAGACAGGAGAGTGCAGTGGAACACCTTACCCCACAGTAACCTCCGCCTCTTGGGGTTTAAGCGATCCCCCCGCCCTGGCCTCTAGCACAGCTAGAATTACAGGTGTGTGCCACCACACCTGGACAGATGTTTCCTGTTTCAAAAGGTCACAATGATTATATGAATGTTAGAGACTAATCAATTTTTTTTTTTTTGAGACAGAGCCTTAAGCTGTCGTCACCTTGGGTAGACATAAGCATGTATAACTATGATTTAGTAATCAAAAATAATACCAATAATTAAAAAAAAAAACTTTGAAAGATGCATTAAACTCTTTTCTTCAGATTAGAACAAATGTAATTCAGTCTGAGTCAGTTTGGGGATCTGACCTAGGAAGTAGGACCACACACTTCTGAACTTTATTGATGCTGCAGATTACAGCCTGAACACTCAATACTTACCTTCCTGAAGGGAGTTTTTCTAATAAAAATACTCACCCACAGCGAGGAGGAGAATACTGGCCACGAAGCAGCCTGCACCCACGCTGAGGTAATAGACGCCCACCCTCATTTCTGCTGGCCAGAGAGGGAAGAGGGTGGCGGCTATTACCGCAATTACTGGAATAAGAAACAACGATGTTATGTAGATAACATTTAGAAGAACAATTTAAATTGAATGGTTGCAGTAACAGTTAACGTATTTGTAAGAGGAAAAAATATGAATCATAAACATATTAGAATATAAAATTGCCATTTTATAGGTAAAAAACAGCCAATTATGAGTAATTTCATATTGTTCAACCTAAGTTTCATAATGTTCCTAAATGAAGTTGATTTTTTTAGTATAAATTATATAATTAGGAAAAAAGCTATGTAAAACTATTCGCTCCTTAAGTTATTAACTACTGGCATTTTCAAGCTATGTTTATCTTATTTTTTAAATATTAGAATACCTGCCTATTGAGTAGGAGAGCTAAAAGAAATAATAAAAAAACTTAACCAAAAATGACTCCAAAGATCCTTCCTAGGGAATCTGATTCTGGGATAGAGCTCGGATTATCCACAGACTAAAAGATGTCCCCAGGTGATCCTGCTACAGACAGCTTTTAGTACTTAGGGACACAGCATACAATCATCTCCAGTTTTTTGTTTTTGTTTTTGTGGTAAGTAAAGTGGGGTCACATTAAAGTATTATAAGAAATCAGAATCTTGGTTATTAGGTCTTTAGAGTAAAACCAAGATTCAAATTCTAGCTCCATCATTTATAAGCTAAGGAACCCTGAGCAAGTTACTGGACCTTTCTGAGGCTAAGGCACCTTCTATTTAACAAATGCCTGTTGCTATTTTAAAGGTTGTTGTGAGGATGATAGATTGCATGTAAAATATTTAGTGAATGGTATGAAAATATTTACTAGCACACTGTAAGTAATCAATAACTATTAGCTACTTGGGTTGGGTTTGAGTTTCAACTCTACTATAAAAAAGTTATTTTGAATGAGATCCTATATCATATTGATTGAGCTTACTTTAACTGTTATTTTTTTGTTTTTTAAATCATTCTTTCCTACAAACTCTTGCCCTGAATTTACAGAAATATAAACCCACACTTGAAAACCAAATCAAAAATAAATTAAAAGGTATAGCAAAGGTAAGTCTAATGCTCACCCCACTCCTCAGAGGTTAACTACTGGTAAGCTTACTTGTATTCCCAGAGACTGCCTATACATAATTAAAACTGGATACATAGAATTTTTTAATCTAAATGGGTTTATACTCTTCTTATGCTTTTGTGACTTTTTTCATTTAATCTATTCTGAATTATCTTTCCATCAATATGTTCATTACTTTTTCTTTCTTTCTTTTTTCTTTTTTTTTTTGGAGATAGAGCCTCACTTTGTCAACCTGGGTGGAGTACCATGGCATCACAGCTCACAGCAATCTCAAATTCTCAGGTTCAAGCAATCCTCTCGCCTCAGCCTCACAAGTAGCTGGGACTACAGGCATCCCCCCACCGCCCTCAAACATTCAGCTATTTGAAAACAGTCACAGACTAATGGGGGGGGGGCATCTGAGAGACATGAAAAGAAGCAGTCCCCTCCCCCCTTTGGTATGTGACTGGTGCAAACTGCCTCATGTCCCACTGGGTAGCGGGACTGTAACTTACCCACCATTCTCCTATCCAGAAACCTGCTGTTCTATCCTACTACAGGTAACAGTGCAAATATCTTCGTGTGTGTACACTTGTGAAATTAATAGGTGAAAGGGTATAAGCATTTCAAAGTTGAAAGATATTTGCTAGATTTCCCTCTTTAGTAAGAAGAATTTGGATTAAAACAGGTAATGTGTCAATGCATATGCCTTATGCAACTGTAACAGCCGTGGGATCAATTCTCAGAAGTGGAATTGCTGGGTCATTGTACACGATGAACAAAGAATTGGACAGTTGTCAAACTGTCCTCTATAAAAACGAAAACAACGGGACAAATCTATCAATCATTGGTGATTGCTGATTTTTTCTAAGACCTTCACTTTCAAACCCTGCAATCCTTTTAATCACTGTTGGTCTAATCTGTATTTCCTGTGAGTGTGACTGAGTATTCCTTTATCTGTGAGCTACCTTCCCTATTGTTCTACTAGTTTGTTAATTTCCTTTTTTTTGAGACAGAGTCTCACTCTGTCACCCCAGTAGAGTGCCATAATGTCACAGCTCACAGCAACCTCAAACTCTTGGTGTTAAGCGATTCTTTTTTTTTTTTTTGAGACAGAGTCTTACTATGTCACCCTCGGTAGAGTTTGGTGGCATCACAGCTCACAGCAACCTCAAACCCTTGGGCTTAAGCAATTCTCTTGCCTCAGCCTCCCAAGTAGCTGGGACTATAGGTGCCCGCCACAATGCCCAGCTATTTTTTGGTTGTAGTTGTCATTGTTGTTTGGAAGGCCTGGGCTGGGTTCTAACCCAGCAGGTTTAGTGTATGTGGCTGGCGCCCTGGCCACTGAGCTATAGGTGCCGAGCCTCAAGCGATTCTCTTGCCTCAGTCTCCCAAGTACCTGGGATTATAGGTGTCTGCCACAACATCTAGCTATTATTTTTCAGAGATGGGGGTCTCACACTCTTGCTCAGGCTGGTCTTGAACTAGTGAGCTTAGGTGATCCACCTGCCTCGGCCTCCGAAGTGCCGGGATTATAGGTATGAGCCACCGCACCGGGCTGTTGATTTCTTAAAGATCTTTATTTTCCTCAAATTATTATTTATCTTCTGACTTTACTGAAGTATATATTTTAAACAACAGCTACACAGCTATTTTAAGCTTAGAAATATTTCCTTTTATGTTGTCTCCATTTTCTTTTCTAAATTTCAGATTTCACTTTCAAGCTACTTACATCCTTCTACTTACCAAGAATTAATCCCATGACAAATGTTTTAAAGTGAACTGGGTCATAGATCCACACATACACCTAGAACAATCAAGAAATGTCAGTGCTTACAAGTTCTGAGGTCAGCTTAGAAAGTAGGCTTAACTCCTTACTTTAGGTCACCCTAAGGCAGTCGCCAGCTTCTTAATACATGAGAAATGCACCTGTTGACCACCCCAGGGACTGTAACCAACTGGTCAGCATAGGAGGTAGTCAACATTGGGAGCCAGGCCTACTGTACTGAGGTTCAAGTCCAATCTCTGAACATTAGATCAGCTTTAAGAGGTGGTCAGTGTAGGGAGGGGTCAGCTATGGGGGCTCTACTGTAGTTTTTAGGTAAACAGATTCCAAAGACCTTTTCTTTCAGGAGTAGTGGTTCTTCTGGTGTCCTCTCAATTGGAAAACGGTTGTTGTAAGAAAACTATAAATTCTGTAATGAATTTAAGTAAATCTGTATATGTTCACTTACATGCATTTAAACAATTTGTTCGTGTGTTTAAATCATTATTTATTCCGATGAAAGACCAGGAGCTGTCAAGCTTTTCGTCCCTAATGTAATGATGTCTGGGTAACACAGTTAAGACAGATTCCAACCAGGCTCTACTACAGCTCCACCAGCTCTCAAGTCTACCCTTTCCTCTCCCACTGATAAGATGTGAAGAAACGTTATTAAAGATTATGCTTGGTGAACATAAAGATTCTATGACATCCCAAACTAATCTCACCATCCCCTTCCCATGGAGGGCCAACAGCCCATAAGCTGGGAACCACTGCTTCAGAGCTGACTTTATTTTTGCCAGGCTGTTGTTTTATACAGCAGAAATGTACTTCATCCTCCAGACCAGACTCTGGTTGGTCATCCTCCACGAAGCTCTTCTTTATCCCTCACTTTCACTTCTCAGTTGCTGTTGACTACTAGTCCCCTTCCCTTTCCCAGCCCTACACTGACTAGAACTCCTTACCACCTGTCTACCCGGGTACTTCTCTTCCCAGCACCAGGTTCCACTCAACCTCTGCCCTTCCTATTTTACTTGGCTCATCTTCTCTGAGTTAGATTCAATGACATTACTTTTGTCAGTTTCCATTCTAAAGAAACATGTGCTTTTAAGAAAACACTACTGACTTTAGACATTCGGGAGTGCGTGTTGCTTTCCACAGGATAAGATCGAGCTTTCTTAAGACTGCAAACACCATCCTCCTGCTCAGGCTGCTCCTTCCCCTAATGTGTCTATAACTCTTTCCTGATATAGCTGCAATCTGCCCATCAGCCTTCAAGGCTCAGTTCAATTGTTTGGGGTCTCCAGACCCTCCTTAACCTTTCAGGTTAAATTAACTGTTCATAGCTGGTGTTCTCATACTGTGACACCTGGCACATTGTAATATACTAACCATGTTTAGATCCTTGTATCTCTGCTACACTATCAATGCTTCCTAGCAATGCATTCTGTTGTATTTATCATGCTATTCCCAGCATCCATAAAAACGTTTGGCATATAGCTGATACTCAATGTTTAACTGAGGGTATCTGAGTTCCCACATTAAAGAAGGCCTACAGTTTTCTACAGGGTGGTCATAAAGTTTGTGTGCAATGTAACTTTATGGACACCCTATATGGCAGCAGTTCAAAACCAGTTCTTATAGAAGAATAACCTGAGGACACTTTATTACAGATACATACTCTTCTCCCATTCCACTCTGGATATTCTCATGTATGTATGTCTGGAACAAGCCTAGAACACTTCTTTTTTCTTTTGAGACAGAGTCTTCCTCTGTTGCCCTTGCCCTGGGTAGAGTGCCATGGCATCATATCTCAAAGCAACCTCAAATTCGTGGACTCAAGCCATCCTTCTGCCTCAGTCTCCTGGTAGCTGGGACTACAGGCACCTGCCACCGTGCCTGGCTAGTTTTTCTATTTTTAGTAGAGATGGAGTGTTGCTCTTGCTCAGGCCAGTCTCAAACTCCTGAGCTCAAGAGATCCTCCTACTCAGCTTCCCAGAGTGCTGGGACTACAGGTGTGAGCCACCATGCCCAGCACAGAACACAGAACACATGTTTTTTAAAAGCTGTCCTAGAATTTCAAACACAAAGCCATAGGAGCCACTACTTTACATGTGTTCCTTTTGTGTGGGTATGGCACGAAAGAACATGCCTCGAAATTCACAACAGTTCAGTGGCTTATACAGCGGTTAAGTGAGTAAATTAAGTAGTCTTCATGAAAGGTAACCACCACACAAATTTCTCGTTACAAAAGACAATAAAAACCATCTCCTTGAGCAAAGCATTAAGTAATGTTGAAGATCTCAGCCTCTCAAGTGACGTCTGGCTATATACTGTATAAAGGACAGAGACCAGGATGTAAATGAAGGTCCTTTATACAGGACAGGATGTAAATGAAGGTTAGATTTACCTAAATTACTTTATTCGTAAAAGTTCCAAACTTACTTCTAGAAACTCGTATGGAAAACTAGATTTCTAATTGTAGGCTAAATACTCTCACCTCATTTCCATCCAGAAAAACTTGATCATCATGTGGCTCAAGTTTGAATTTTTTCTTAGTTTCCTTCTTTTTGGGAGTTCCTGGAGTTTCTTCCTGTAAAAATACAAGACAGAAGAAGTAACAAAGCAAGCCTCCAAATCCAACATGACATTCATACGGTGAAAAATGTTCACTATTTGTAACACAGAAATAAAGTCTCACCCATGGTATTTATAACAGCCCTAATGTAGTTTTGTTAAGCGGCTGCTGTGCAGTATTTAAATGTGCTCTTACGCCAGTAGTGATAAGATGCGCTAAGGGTTTTTAATGAATTTTAGTTGAACTCACTTTTTTTGATTCTTCCTTTTCACCATCTTTTTTTTTCTCTTTTTCCTTTTTTGTCTTTTCATCCTTTACACTTTCTTTCTTGCTTTTTTTATCTTCTTCTTTTCCACTTTCAGCTTTTCCTTTATCTTTTTCTTTCTTTATGTCCTTATCATACTTCATTTTCATTACTTTTAGTGCCCGGTGAAAAAACTGCTTCTTTAAAAGCCTTTGGGGGGGAAAAAAAAGTATGACATTCCATTCCCCAGTAATTATACAGATACAGACTGAAATGCAAAAATAATAAGACCTGAATAAAGTTAGCAAAGGGAGACAAAAATTGGTAACTCATAAGAGAAAATATAACTAGTGAGCCCACAGGAAACAGTCAGCTTCACGAGTAATCAAACAGTGAGCCCATGGAAAACAACCCCACCAGTAATCAAAAAACTTCATAGCCAATTATATAAAACTTAACAAACCAGTGATATTTAATTTTCATTTTTAGCTGTATGATTTAGGTATACAAGAGATTATACATTTGAGATTAACCACACAAAGCTGCTCTCTGGTTCAATATGAGTAATCCAGCCAGGCACAGCGATGCCCACCTGTAATCCCAGTTAGTCAGGAGGTTCAAGCAGGAGGGTTGCTTGAGGCCAGGAGCTGGAATTCAGCCTGGCAACATAGTGAGACTCTATCTCTCTCTCTTTTTTATTTTTTGAGACAGAGTCTCAAGCTATGGCCCTGGGTAGGGGGCTGTGGCGTCACAGCTCACAGCAACCTCAAACTCTTGGGCTTAAGCGATTCTCTTGCCTCAGCCTCCCAAGTAGCTGGGACTACAGGTGTCTGCCATAACGCCTGGTGGTTTTCTTTTTTGTTGTTGTTGTTGCAGTTGTCATTGTTATTTTAGCTGGCATGGCTGGATCAGAACCCCCAGCCTCGGTGTACGTGGCCAACACCCTACCTACTAGGCTACAGGTGCTGCCCCATGAGACCCTATCTTTTAAAAACAAAAAAAAGCCAGGTGTGGTGGGTGCGTATAGTAGCAGCTACTCTGAAGGCTGAGGCTGAACAATCACTGGAGCCAGGAGTTGGAGACTACAGTGAGTTATGGTCATGCCACTGCACTCCAGCCTGACAACTGAAACTCTTGTCTCTTTAAAAAAGGGAGAATGGTAGAAATAAACAATTTAAGAAATATTAATAGATTAAAAGGGTGTCCACCACGTGACTGATCCAAATCATGTCTTTTTAGCTTT